TCCACGTGGCTCCTCCAGCTCCAGGGCTCTAGCGTAGCTCCATGTGGCTTGTCAACAGGAATGTCTCACGGGGAGTCAAGCAGAGTCTGTGTGTCCCGCCTCCAGCAAGCTATTTATCTCCGTAGCACCTCATGAAGCAGTGACCTGATTCGCAGGCTCAATTCCACCCCCTCATTTGTAATAGTCTCCACATGGCACTAGATGATGTCATTACCACAGGTGGTGACAAAGGACCGATGAGCTTATTTGGGTGGATCGTAAGTCCCCGCAGCTCAACTTTCTGGCTGCGTGGTCTCATGGCTCCTCCGAGCCTCTGTGTCCTCGTCTGTTACAGCAGCCCCTCGCTCAGGGAGACTTGACAGGAGCAGTGCATGAGAAGTACCTGGCATCGTGAATGCCAACAGCCCCAGGCGCTGGGTTAAGCGTTTCCACATTTGTGGTCTTGCCAAGTCTCCTGCCGACCCGCCCAGGGGTGCCTTAATTTTCTCTCTTTCTAGAAGACTATGAAATTGGTCTTGGTTATCTAGAGCTGCGATAGCAGCAAAACCAAGAGGGGGTTCTTTGACAAACAGAAGTTTCTTCCCTCACAGTGTAGGAGGTTGCATGCGTGAATGCTGAGCCCTGGTGGCGGTGGCGGTGCTAGGGGAAAGCTTCCTTTCTCCCCTTCTCACCCTCTTCAGCGTCTGCTCCTCACTCCCTGGCGATCTTCCTGGGACGAGCATTGTCCCCCCCCCCACCCCTTGGTGCTTCATCTGCCCTTTTATGGGCTTGTTAACAAAGAAAGCTCTAGTCTCTGATGGAATTATTCTCACATGAATAGGGGTTGGGGTATATATATTTGGGCGGGGAGGTGGTGGTGGGAGGGAGGCAATTCCATCCAAAGGAGCCCTGCTGATATAGTGGGTACTCAAGGGACTGCTAACCACAAGGTCAGCTGTTCAAAACCACCAGCTGATCTGATGAAGAAAGATGAGGCTTTCTACTCCCGTAAAGAGTTATAGTCTTGGAAACCTACGGGAGCAGCTCTATGATGTCCTATTAAACAAACACACAAAAAGCTCACAGCCATGGAGTCAATTCTGACTCATGTGACCCTAAAGGACAGAGTAGAGGTACCCGATGAGTTTCTGAGACTGCAAATCTTGATAGGAGTCTGCAGCCTCGTTTTTCTCCCAAGGAGCAGCTGGTAGTTTTGAACTGCCAACCTTGAGGTTCACAACCCAACACGTGCGTAACTCGCTATGCCGCCAGGGCTCCTCCTTGTCATCGACTCAGTGGCAATGTGTGAGGTGGGTGGGGTGTTTGGGGAAGGGTGGCGGGGGGCCAATTCCACCCACAGGAGCCCTGGTGGCACAGTGATGTGTCGGGCTGTTAAAACCACAAGGCCGGCAGTTCAAACTCACCAACTGTTCCGGGGGAGAAAGCTGAGTTCTCTGCCCCTGTAAAGACGGACAGTCTTGGAGACCCATAGGGACCGTTGTCCTCTGCCCTGTGGGGTTGCTATGAGTCGGAATTGATTCGGTGGCCGTGAGTTTGGTTTGGTGTTCATTCCTCCCGTAACAAGGCTCATGGAGCATCTTGGCGGAGGTCAGCTGCCAGTAGGTGGCAGAGCTGAGAGCCCGAGCCAGATCCCATTGTCCTAACCACTGGCCCATCCAGCCTGCAGCTGGCCTGCCCGCTCTGCCAGGCCTTATTCCCAGCCTGGGGAGAGGGATGCCCAGAGAGGTTCCACAGGGAGCGCTGCATCCCTCACCGCCATGTGCCCGGGGGGCAAATGGCTTTGTCTCTCTGTGACTCAATTTCCCCATCTGTGAAACGGGGACGCGAACATTCCTACCTCCCAGGTGGCGTCGTGTTCGTCGTTGGGCTGCCAACCCAAAGGTCAGCACTTCGAAACCACCAGCCGCTCCGCAGGAGAAAGAAGAGGCTTTCTACTCCCATGAAGAGTCCCGGTCTGGGAAACCGACCGGCCCGTGCTATTCTGTGCCGTAGGGTCCCTGTGTGAGTCGCAGTCGACTCGCTGGTGGTGAGCTCAGAGGTTCAATGTGAGGGTCTCGGGGATCAAAGGTCTTGGCACAGTGATCATAGGCTGAGCAGGTCACCAAAAGGCCGGCAGTTGCTCTGTGGGAGGAAGACGCAGCACTCAGCTTCAGTAAAGATCGACAGTGTGTGTGTGTGTGTGTGTGTGTGTGTGTGTGTGTGTGTAAGATCGACAGCCTGGGAGACCCTGTGGGGCAGCTCTTGCTGTGTGTGTGTAAGATCAACAGCCTGGGAGACCCTGTGGGACAGCTCTTGCTCTGTGTGTGTGTGTGTGTGTGTGTGTGTGTGTGTGTGTGTGATTGTTGGAAGGGAACTTGTTTGTCACAAGACTCCAAGTCCATTTCGGTTTTGCTTTCCCTCCTTTCTCCTTTAAGCCACCCAGACCACCGTTTAGGTTTGAGGGCTGAGGGATCTGGAAGGCGGCTCTCGCTTACTAAGCCTTCGGTGAGGGTGGCCATGGCTGTGCCATGATGGCGACAATGGTGACCAGGTCCCTCTGACCCTTCCCCCACCTCAGGCCGACACAATGCGTGTGGTGGTCATCGGAGCAGGCGTCATCGGGCTGTCCACCGCCCTCTGCATCCACATGCGCCACCACTCGGCCCACCAGCCGCTGGACTTGAAGGTCTACGCAGACCGCTTCACCCCACTCACCACCACCGACGTGGCGGCCGGCCTCTGGCAGCCCTACCTGGATGACCACAGCAGCCCGCAGGAGGCGTGAGTCGGGGTCCCAGGGGGCCTGAGGGGCTGAGTCTGCAGAGGGGGCACCCCACTCAAGGCTCCCTTGCATGGACTCTGACGTGGTATGACAAACCGACAAAAAAACGCAGTGAGACCTGTGATTGGGACTTCAGGGGACACCATGGTCTTTACACCTTCGACATGGTGCTGTCTCACCGCTTGTCTATTGCTTATATTAGTTCAAAATACTTGAGTTTTTCCAACTATTTCTGACAGGTTCCTCCCTGCCTTACACAGCCTCTGGCTTTCATAAGCTCATATATACCAGATACAATACACAGACAATCTGTGTATATGTGTTGTATACACCCTCAGGGGCAGTATATATGTGTACATACCATATACATGTGTATAGTATTAGACACACGCTTGTGTACATATTTAGTTACCAGGGGGCTTCAAAAAAGTTCATGGACAAATCAAAATAAAAGGCTATAGAAAAATTCCACGAACTTTTTGAAGCCCTTCAGGCATACATACACATCTAATATATACACATACACATCTAATACACATATGAAAGCTACGTGAGAGTTTCAAGACGGGGGAAACCTGTAGGCGTCCGGGCCTTTTGCAGGCGTGACCCAGCAGATTTCTGGCCTTGGGGTCCATCTCCGCCACCCTGGTCACAGCCCCCGGCAAGCTGTCCCTCTGAGCCCCCTTGTTCAGCCAGGGGCGTCCAATGACCAAGAGGTCCGTGTCCCTTTCAGGGATTGGAACCAGCTGACCTTTGACTATCTCCTGAACCACGTCCACTCTCCCGAGGCTGAGAAAATGGGACTGGCCCTCATCTCCGGCTACAACCTCTTCCGAGAAGCTGTCCCGGTGAGTGAAGGCTCCTAGGCTGTAACGAGGAGCCTTGGCCGGGAACCCGGCTCGAAGGGTCAGAAGTGGGTTCACCTGCCATTCTGATTCTGCCTTGCCACATTCCTTCTGCTTCCAGCTCTTGGGGGGATATTGACAGAGATCACGAGCCTTCTGATAAATAGGAGGATCTCGTCCTCTGCCCAGATGCAAAGACAGAACAGGTTGACTATTGCTGTCTATAGAGTTACCGTCTGGGAACCGGCCCCGCTCTGGGCAGCTCTGTTCTGTCCTCCTGGGCGCTGTCCGTCGGATCGACTGGGCGGTGGTGAGAGTTTTAAAATGTGTTCTGCATTTAGGGCTGAAGCAGAGAGGTTCTCCGCCGCTGGAGGTCCGGGGACTTTTCCGAAGGTGGAACCAAATACGAACGGGAACTTGTAAAGTGCTCATGATGTGTGAGGTCCTGTCCTAGCTGCTTTACAGCTGGTGACTAGGGGCGACCTTACAATAAACAGGGATTACAGGTCCCCGAAGAGTTTCAAAGGGCCCTGGCGTGCGGCGGTGACACGTTGGGATTCCGATCGTGAGGTCACCAGATCACAAGCACCAGCCCCTCTCAGGAGGCTGTCTGCTCCTGTCAACAGTTAGTTAGCGTCTCAGAAACCCATAGGGGCCGTTCTACCCTGTCCCCCAGGGTCGCTGTGAGCTGGAATCAACTCGATTCAGGCAGTGAGTTTGGTTTTTGGTTTGAAGAGCCTCCCGGGTGGCCAGATCAGTGAAGCACTCAACTATTAAGCAGAAGGGAGGTGATCTGAGTCCACCCAGAAGTGCTCTCAGAAGAAAGGCCTGGCCATCGATTCTCAAAGGTCCCAGCCATGAGTGCTCGGGAAGTGGGGTCACGTGGAGTCACCTTGATGGTGGCAGGTCTGGCTTTTGGTTTTGAGAGTGCCCTTGGTGGAATGAAGGGTTCGTGTGGTTTGCCTACCACCTCCTTTTCAGGAAAAAACAAAAACCTCAGCGCCCCCTGGCAATTAAAAACGATGATACTCTAGCCCCTCACCCAGGATAAGGTGCAGGCATCTGCTTGTGCAGCCCCCGCCGCCCCCCATCACTGGGTCCTTCCTTCTGCTGTAGGATCCTTCCTGGAAAGACACTGTTCTGGGATTCCGGAAGCTGACTCCCAGGGAGCTGGACATGTTTCCAGATTACAGGTAAGGTTATTGTTACGGCCAAAGGGGTGAGCCCCACGCAAGCCAGAGAAGGACTTCTCCAGATGGTATCCACGAATGAAGACACACTTCCCTGTCTTAGTTTAGGCCCCGTGTCCTTCTGATTTCCTGGTGCTCCGTTCAGCGCCTTCAGAGAGGATGTCCACGCGGGCTGGACCTTGACGTGGAGCCGGGGAGGTTGTGGTTCTGTGGTTAGGCGTCATCCGTGGTTCAGATTCCCAGCCCCCCATCGGGACAGAGCAGGACCACTCCCGGGGCTTTCTAAGCGGCAAGATTTTAAAACAGTTTCATTGGCACTTCACCCGCCTGTCATACAAGTCAATCCTTCAGTCGCTTCAAGAGGAGTTGTGCAGCCTTGCCACGATTCATTTCAGAACACGGTCTCCTTCCCTGTACTCCTTGTTAGTCGTGTAATTGTTTTGTTTTCAATTGGGGCAAAACCGTCCGCCACCAAACAGTCTCCTATTTAACAGTGTCTACGTGTATCATTCAGTGCCATTGACGATTGCCTTCCTGGTGTACAACCATTCTTGACACCCCTCTCCAAACGGTTCCACCACCATTAACAGAAACTCAACGATCTCGATGCAAAAACGCTTCCTCCTTCACCCACGCCGACCACCATCAACTCGTTCTTTCCAAGATGCGTCTTCATGGAGCCACAGGGTGGATTTGAACTGTCAATTAATTGTCCAGTTAGTCATTGAGCCCTCCGCTGCTGCAGCACCAGGGCTCCGAGGGGATGGGAAATCAGACTCTCAGCTCCAGAAGGGGCTTAGAGTAAGGTGACCAGATTTAAAGCGGGACACCATTGACCGGGGGTGAGGGAGGGGGGGTCTTGGTTAAAAATTTGGTCTATATGGACCAAATAGACTGTTCCCTAGCTTGTCGTGCATTCTTTCCAAAAAATCAGGACTTTTTTAAAACGCCAAAAATCAGGACTGTCCGGCCAAAAGTGGGACGTCTGGTCACCTTAAGCCTTAGAGGGATACTGACTCACAGTAACCGGGGTTCTGACGACCCCGACTCACTGAACCGACAGTCTCGATTTTCTCCCTCAGAGTCACTGGTGGGTTGGAACTTCTGACGTTATGGTTAGCGGTCTATCACTTGGCGGGCAGTGCCACCAAGGCTCCATCCAACCATAACAATAAACCCTAAGTTCAAACCTACTGCCATCGACCCTATAGGACAGGGTAATATTGTCTCTTTTGGTTTTTGAGACTTTAAATCTTAATCTTAAATCTTAACAAGAGCAGAAAGCTCCGTCTTTCCACCATGGAGTGACTGGTGGGTTTGAAACACTGACCTCGTGGTGAGCAGCTTCATGCACAAGCCACTACACCAGCAGGGTTCCGCTAACATCACAAATGGCATGGCTGACATTCCGTCTTCCTCTTCTGTGGCCCACCCCTTGGTTTCTGATCCCCAACCCTGCGCGGCCCACACTGCTATCCTACTTTGAAAATGAGGAAACTGCTTCAGAGAGATTAAATGACTTTGTAAGGCCACACGACCAAGTGCCAAGGCTGGGATTCCAACCCGGTTTGCAGGATCCCAAATCTCACTCTTCTTTTCTCTTCAGCCTCGCTGGTTCTCACTTCACTCCATGGCACACCGGAGTCCCCTCGGAGTCCCACTGCAGGGCACCGGGTCAGGGATGGCTGTGTTGGATATACCATCCCCCACCCCCCTCCTTGACTTTCACCCAGTGGTCCTGGCTGGTACCCTGTGGAACTCACAAAGCCAGACTCCACCCTCTCTGTTGGACAGCTTTCTAATGTCCTTCTGCTTCTGACACCTCATTCTCATCTTTTATAGCTATGGCTGGTTCAACACCAGCCTGATTTTGGAGGGGAAGAGCTACCTGGAGTGGCTGACTGAAAGGTAAGCTTTTGAGCTTCAGCTTAGGTAAAGCGTCTCCCAGGGACCAAGCTGTAGCAGAAAACACATAACACATCAGAAAACCAGGTAACACATCTCTGTTGACCACCCCCCCCCACTCACCCCCCAGAAGCCTGATCACGCTGCACAAAGACACCTGGTTGAGCATCAGAATCACACGGGCCGCTCTTGACCTGGGATATTGACAACCAAACTTGCAACAAGACCCCTGCATGTTTATATACTGGTTTAAAATGGACTCTATTATAAAATCATGGTATGGGGGGGGGTGTCCTTTTTTTTTTTTTT